AGGTGAAGCAGGGTGGGGGTGCCCCAGAGCTTCTCCCCAAGGTGAAGTGGGGTGGGGGTACCCCAGAGCTTCTCCCCAAGGTGAGGCAGGGTGGGGGTGCCCCAGAGCTTCTCCCCAAGGTGAGGCAGGGTGGGGGTACCCCAGAGCTTCTCCACAAGGTGAAAGGGGGCAGGGTGCCCCAGATCCTCCCCCCTTACAGCCCATCACAAGGTGTTCTGCCCTTATTGGTATGAGTTTGACCCGGGCATGGACGATGGGGAGGAAGAGCTGATAGATGACTCCTGTGCTCCCCTGGTGTCCTTGAGATGGAGCCAGACCCTGAGGAAGGCCCCTAGAAGCCAGGAATGCCCTACCTGCCCCTGCACTCCCACCCTGTGAACTCCCAGGAGGGTGGAGACAGAAGTGCCTCAGCAGGCATGGCTGTGGCAGCTGACACTCCCCACCTGATGAGATCTCAGATGGTTTGGAGCATGTCTGAGTGGTCCAGGGCTGCCGCCAAAGAGCGAGCTGATCCGCGGGCCCCAGATTGGGCAGCCTGGAACATTGCCTCAGGTGTTGGGGTGCTGGTGAATGCCAGGGGTGGTCAAGGTCTCTGGTCTGAGGCTCATAGAGATCAGAGGTGCCCAGGGATGTGTTCTGGGTACTTGTCATCAGCAAGGGAGGCTCACCCCCAGCAGCCACGTACACGGGTGGCCCACCTCCACTCTGTTCCTCACTCATTGACACACGCGCACAGAGACTGAGACACAGAGACACATACAGACACACACTAACACAGATACACACACAAACACAGACACTCACACAGATATAGGTTTACACAGATAAACATAGACACACCCAGACACACACACACTCACACAGAGACAAAGACATACACAGACACTCACACAGATATACATTTACACAAACATAGACACACCCAGACAACACACACTCACACACAGACACACACTCACACAGAGACAAAGACATACACAGACACACTCGCACAGTTAGACATAGATACACACACAAATATTCATACTATAGGTATACACCCTCTCCCAGGCCTTTTGGGAAATCTCCCCAGTCAGAGGCTCTGGGTTCAAATCACCCCTCTGGACCTGACTATCTGTTTGACTGTGACAAGTTACTTCACTTGTCTGGGCCTCAGTTTTCTCATATGTAAAATGGAGCAGTCAGATTAGGTGTATGTTTCTAGATCTCTCACCCTCCAGAAAGAGCACAGACTCAGGAGTTGCAGGACCCAAATTCAAATCCTGCCTCTCATGTTTACCTTCGTTGTGACCTCAGACAAGTCAGTTAACTCTCGGAGTCTCCGCTTCCTCATCTGTAAGATGATTAAATGCCTGCTGACTCCAAATCTAGAGTCCCATGCTCCTAAGCTTCTTCACTTGTCTGGGCCTCAGTTTCCTCATCTGTAAAATGAGAGGATTGGGCTTCAAGGCCCCTGAGATCCTTTCGACCTCTGCCCATGTCCTCCTGTGATCCTCCGAGGAGCCTGAGAGGGGCAGGGGTGAAGTTGGGAGCCAGGTCTTCTCCCCCCATCCTGCGC